TGTGTGATGCTGGGGATTGAACCCAGCTAGGCGAGTGCTTTATCAGTGAGCTACACCCCAACCCCAACATGATTTTTTTGTTGTTGACAGGATTTTTTTTTTCTTTGAGACTGGGTCTCACTTTGTAGCTGAGGCTGGCCTTGAACTTACCATGTAGTTGAGGCTGGCCTTGAACTTATGGAAATCTTCCTGCCTCAGCCTCCCAAGCAGGTGCCATCACGCCTAGCTGACAATTTTTTTCACAGTTCTTTTTTTATTTTAAAGAGAATAAAAAAACAATAAAATGGTACAGAATTTCAAAACAAGATGATAGGAAATTAACAATGGTTATTATACTGCATATGGTTCTCTTCAGAGTAGTTGCTCAGATTACCAGACATAATTTTTTTTTTTTGAGACATGATCTCAGTATGTAGTGCAGGCTGGCCTCAGATTTGCAATTTTCTTGCCTCTTTTTTTTTTTTTTTTTTTGCCTCAGCCTTCTGAGTACCTGGGATTACAGGTACTGTCCCTGGCTCACATGACATTTTTATTAACTATAGTCTCCGTGTTGTACAATAAGTTCCTTGAACCTTTTCCTAAGCGAAATTTTATATTCTTTGACCAACATCTCACCAACTTTCCTGCCTCCTTCCCTCTGACAACTTCCTCTCTTTCTGCTTCTTCCAGTTCGAGTCTCAGAGCCCACACGTGAGATCATGCAGAATGTGTTTTTCCGTGCCTGGCTCATTCCACTTAACATGATGTCCTCCTGCTTCATCCTACCTGTTGCAAGTGACAAGATTTCCTTCTCTTTTAAGGCTGAGTAGTATTCCATAGTCCCATAGGAACTCTAGAATCAGGCTGCAGAATTTTCCTGGGCCTCTGCAGGCTTCTATGAAGATATCCTACATAGGAACCTGTACTACTGGCCCAGGTATAATTTAGGTTATAATTGTAGACCTCTGATATTTCCCCAGATGTCTGAGAGGCAGCTGGGCATGGTGGCACACATCTAGAATTGCAAGTTTGAGGCCAGCCTGGACAACTTAGCAAGATCCTGCCTCAAAACAAACACCCCCTCCTCCCCCCAAAAAACAAAACAAAACAAAGAAAAAAGGAAAAAACAAAAAAATCTCAGGGGTACCTCTGAGGTCTTCAGGCAGTCAAAGGACCTGGGTTCTTTTGCAGCTTCAGATGGAGTGGAGCAATGGTTAGAGCATGAGTTGGCAAGAGACAGGCCTGAATAGAAACACCAGCTCCAGCACTAGGTTGCTTTGCAGGCTTCAGGAAGTCATTTCATCTCTCAAAGTCTTGTTTCCTTATATGTAAAATGAAGATATTAAAGCACTTACTGTAAAGGCGTTTTGGCAAGGATTTATTTTTTTTTTTTAATTTTTTTTGGTTTTTTTTCTCCGGTACCGGGAACCGAACTCACGACCTTGCGCTTGCCAGGCAGGCGTTTTGCCGCTGAGCTAAATCCCCAGCCCCTTTGGCAAGGATTTAATGGCATGATATTATAAAATACCCAAAGCACTGCTAGCAAGTTGTGGTTCTTTCTCTTATTTAATGTGAGAAGCTGAATGTAAACACAGAAACCTAGCAGATAGAGGACATACCTTCCCATTCCCACTGTCCTACCGTGGTGCAGTCTTATTGCCTTGTGTGTGTGTGTGCATATGTGTATGTGTATGCACACGCATGTGCTGGGAAGCTTAGAGACTTGTACAAGCTTTGCAAAGGTTCTGCCCCCGAGATGCACTTTAGCCCCAGAGGCCCCGCTGCAGTGGTCTGCCTCTGTCACCTCCATACTCACTGGGTTCCTGCCCGGGAGCTACTTTAACTCTTCTACTTTGACACCTCTCTCAGCTATTCATGATCATAAAATTTAGGCCAAATTTTTCAGTGTGAAGTTCAAGGGCATCTGTAAATTGTGCCAAGACACATTCTTCTCCAACCATTATACTGAAAAGAACCAGGGAAGTGGAATTGCAAACAGGGATCCATGCTGGGTATGGTAGTGCACGCCTGTAGTCCTAGCAGTCGGGTGGCTGAGGCAGAAGGCTAGCTGTGAGTTCAAGGCCAGCCTGGGCTATATAGTGAGCTGAAGGCTTGCCTGAACTACACAGTGAGACCCTGCACTTGAAAAAAAAGAAAAGAAAAGAAAAGAAAGGGAAAGAAAAGGAAGGAAAGAAAGAAAGAGGGCTGGGGGTAAAGCTCAGCAGCACAAGCGTTTGCCTGGCAAGCACAAGGTCCTGAGTTCGATTCCCGGTAGACAAAAAAAAAAAGAAAGAAAAAGAAAACAGGGGTCCACTCCTGGGATCATCCACTTTCTCCCTGTTTGATTTTTTTTTTCTTTTTTTGGAGCAGCATGACCTTTTGCAATTTTTTTTAAAGAGCAGAATATATTTATTGAGGGAAAGAAAGCTTCTGTCTGAGAGAGACAGAAGGGGACCTGACTGGGTTTCCCTCTCCCTATTTCGTTTTGAGTAAATCTCCCAACTTTGGTTCTGCATTTATAGATGGAAGATCATATGCTGTCTAATGGGATACTCTGACTTCTGGCCATCTGTCTTGAAGTCAGTGGGTAGGGATCAGATGCGTCTTGCTCTTCCTTGCATCTTCAGTACCTAGCATGGAGCCTGGCACATGGTGGACGGTCACTACAAGTTTGCTGAATGAACGAATTTTTAGATTTGGCACCAAACAGGTAGAACACCTTAGGCAGTTACCAGGAGACCTTCCCAAGTGATAGCTGTTTCTGTGCAGATGTTAGAATGATTTAGACAAATTCCCATCCTGTCTGTACATGTTCATTTTGGGGAGGGGAGGGGCAGGGCCTTGCTTTGTAGTCCAGGCTGGGCTTGAACTCACTACTGTGTGCGGCGCAGGCGATCCCTGCGTCAGCCTCCCAGTATCTGTACTGGAATTATTGGCAGTACATGGCCACAGCCAACCCATGTTCACTTTTCTGTACCACGAGAGGAAGGAAAGTACTCCTGAATGTTATTTTCTGTATCACTAGCTCATACATTCAGACGGAGTTTAATAAATGCTCTGTCAGTGAATGAAGCTTCCGAGGCTCCGCCTAAGGCTGGCTGTGTCTAATCTAGAATCTGAGCTCTCAACCTGGGGGTTCCCCTCTACTCTTTTTCTCTCCGGGAAAGATGGAGCCTACCTCGGGTTCTTCTGCATTCAGCTCCTGCAAAGTGTTCTCTGCGAGGGGACCCAGGAGTGGGGACAGAACGTGGGTTTAGGGGAAGTGGGCAAAACGAGGGCAGGCGAAGGTTATTCCAGAACCGGCCCAGGGCAGAGGCAGCAGGCAGCCTGGAGGGCGACTCTGGGCCTGGCTGCGGAGCGTTCCCAGGGGGCGGGCGGAGTGGCCGCCCGGGATCAGCGAGCGGCTGCCGGCGGGGCCGAGAGGTCGCCCCAGCCAGGGCGGGGAATGTGGGGGTGTGAATTGGCCCGGGGGACCCTAGGTGCCTCCGGGGAGGAGGGGCGAGAGGAGCGGCAAAGCGGCGTCTGGGGGCAGCAGGAGGACGCGGGGTCCGGGCAGGGGGCGCGGGGCTGCGGACCCTCGGCGAGCGCGGAGGCGCAGGGCGGGGTGCAGGGC